AAAACCCCAAACCCAGTCAAATAAAAGACAAAATAACCTCCAAAGTTCCACACAATAGCCATACATGAAAGGACTTCTAGCTAGTGCATCACTGTATCCAGAACAGTGGAGTTCCTACACATCACCACATTTCTGAAAGAGTTGCTCAAGCACAGGATTGTCATGAAAACACAGGTAAAAATGTGTCATCTGCCTCCCCCTGATTTGCAGCAGTCAACACGCACAGTATGGTATGAGAGCTTGTATAAACAAGAACAGCAAAAAGCTGAAGCTCAGCAGAAGCCAGAAAATGTGTTTTGTTGCACCCATTTTAAGTCATGTAAGACAGTATTTTTTGCCTTTTGTCTGACACATGTGATCATTGACGTGACTCCAAAACATCCTTTCACGGTATTTCCTCCATTTTTTTAACTGAAAGCCATTTCAAAGATTGAGAAGTCTGTAGAGACACACTCAAACACTGTGTTTTCATTGCAACTACAATCAGAAATCTTTACAGTGTAACAGCTGTACATGTACACCACCTTTCCAAACCTCCACTAGAGCTTTTTAAAAGAAAAGGGGAAAAAAGAATAATGTTGTCTTACTGAAGTTCCCATTAGGTCCCTGTTCCAAATCAAAACCAGTCAAAACAAGTAATACAAACTGGTTTTGCTTCATGGTTTAAAGGCAACTGTAGTTTGCAGAACACTGAAGTTAGGCCTAAGAGGGTCTACATTACAAGAAGGGTAAAAAGTTTTTAATACTCCTCTCCCACAAATGTCACAGGAAGTAGACAATAGGAGACATACAAAAATGAGTTGTAGCAAAGAGATTAAGAAAATACCAAAGCATCAGCTGTATAAAACCAATGGCAGCCCATATTTCTCTGAGATACAGAAGGCTGTGGTAATGAGAAAATGAATGAAATGGGCATTAGGCTTCCCAGTGGAGCACTCTGTGTAAGACAGGGAGCACCTCAATCACCCAGCAGTGAGCAGCAGTGGCGTGTGCTGCAGGGTCACGGCTCTCACCCTCATGTCCTGTTCACAACCAGGAAGTGATTTTCACCTGAATCAGATACAGATTTAAGACAAGAATCACTTCACTGTAAGCAAAGCTTTAGTGCATGTACTTGGTCTCAGAAAAAGCATTTAGCATTGGCAATCATGTGGTCACAGAATGGTCACAGGCTGAGGCAGGAGATATGAAGCTGTGACACCTGGACCAATTCTGCTGGAATCATTAAATAAATAACAGATAGAAAAACTACAAAAGGGCAACAAGGAAACAGCATGGGGCACTTTGGTATTTTAAAACTAGCACTAAACATTGATCCAGACCCAAAAGACTCCAATGTCCACCTATGTTGTTTGATCAGGTATTTTTACCATTTTCTGCAATGTTGTTCTTTATCAAAAACAACCAAATAAAACCACCAACCCACCATGTATTTTTCTTTTGACACAAAATATGCCAATATGGGAAACACCACACAAAGGGTAACCTGAATCTTATTTTACTGTAATCTGGGCTCTGTCTAGGAGAGAAGACAACTTCTTACTATTTACTAATAAATTCTAATTTCCTCATTTTTCTACTTTGACATCTCAACCACTGTGTCATGTACTGTACTATAAACAAGGACCATAGAACTCAAAGACAGAGAAGTTATAGAGTACAAACTCTCATTTCTAGAATTACTAAATTACAATTCTACAAAAGGTGTGAATATACAGCACCTTTCAAGGTCTCACATTTACCATGAACCATGTGAATAATTTCAGTCAATCTTCTAAAATATGTGCAATCAACCTCTAAATACTCGATGACCTCCAAATGCACCTTGCAAAGCTCTTAATCAGAAAAGCAATCAAATTCAAATAAAAAAGGAAATAATTGCATGGCATTTTCTCTGCAGAGTGGAAGATGAAGCCAAAGTTTTCACATCCATTAGTTGAAACAATGAATTAAAGCACACTGCCATTCTGATCACTAAATCACTTGGTCCTTCCCACTAGAGACAGAAAAAAGTGTGAATTCATAATTTTTATAATAAACCTCTAGCTTGAAAGATCATTGTTTAGCAAAGGTTGGTGAAGTTCTTAAGGCTTCCTCTTACCCTATTCCCCCACATGTGTCATTTGAATCTCTCTTACCTCACTTATTTTCCAGACATATCTGTATGAAGTTTATACTAACTGCTAAGAACAGACTCCAGAAAGCCAGGATGATAGGGGCTATGTCATTGGGTGTTAGCTGAACCAAGGTAACTGCATACATGATTTAGCATTTCACAGATGCAACTGAATTGAAACCTCAAGGGAAGAGTTTCAATCCCAGATGCACCATTTAACAGTGGGGATCAAGGGACCTTGGCAGGCTTGAGAGGGAGGCCGATGGAAACCTCATGAAGTTCAAGCAAGCCAAGTGCAAAGTCCTACTCCTGGCTTGTGGCAATCGCAGGCACTCCTACAGGCTGGGTGGAGAAGTGATTGAGAACAACCCTGTGGAAAGACTTGGGAGTGATGGTTGGTGAAAAACAACGTGAGCCATGGGGGTGCACTCACAGCTCAGAAAGCCAAATGGATCCTGGGCTGCATCCAGAGGAGTGAGGGCAGCAGGGCAGGGGAGGGGAGGGGATTCTGTCCCTCTGCTCTTGTGAGACCCCACCCCGAGTACTGCAGCCAGCTCTGGTGTCTCCAACATAAGAAGGACACAGAACTGTTGGAGCATGTCCAGAGAAGGGCTATGAAGTTGATAAGAGGACTGGAGCAAAACGGAGAAAAGTTTAGATTAGCTATTAGAAAGAAATTCTTTACTTCAGGGGTGGTAAAATACTGAACAGATTGTCCAGGGAAGCTGTGGATGCCCAAACCCTGGCACTGTTCAAGGCAGGTTTTATAAAGTCTTGAGCAACCTGGCCTAGGTTGAAGTGTCCCTGCTTATGGCAGGGGGGGTTGGGACTAGATGATCTTCAAGGTCCCCTCTAATCCTTAATATTCTATGACTCTGTGATACCCTAACAGCATATGTAGTGATGGTAAATCATCTCAAGGGTTGTAGCCTTGACTCTACATCTGAATGAACATTACAGAGCATTGCTGAAGAGGATCAACAGGGACTAAAGGCCTCTGGCACAGGGATTGTTGCTGGGGATTGCTCTATGCCCTGTATTACCAACATTGCAGCATGTGGTCCATGTTGTGCATGTTGGCAGTTCAGAGCAACATTCTGTTCTCATGTGAGACAAAATATTTTGCCAGAATGCCATTTTTGTAAACCATCTTTGCAGAAGGGAAATGGTTCAGTGGAGGCAGTAATCAACACCACAGAATTAAACTGATATTCTCCATTACCATTTTAGCAGGTCAGATTTCAAAAATTATAATCTTAATTTAATTGATACCAGGATGGTTTTATTTTAAAATCCTGGAATTGTCTTTACAGTAATTACTACACAGCTGCAAACACCATAGATAGGATACTTTCCATTGCAATCAGCATGTATAACCTGCCCTGCAGAAAACTGTATGAAATCAAATGCACAGGAGACAGATGAAAAAAATCAGAGGCAGAGAAACTTTCTGAGGAGAAGGAGATTTAAGTAAGGCTCCCTTGCTCCTTCAGATATACTCATGGGCATATAAACTATGCAGCTGCTGGATTACAAAGTTATCTGGGTTTTTCAAAAGATGCTCTGTGGGTAGTAGAACTGACAGATCTTTTGTGATTTACACTTTCTGAGTTTTCTTACCTTTATTATTTACTAAGTTGAGGTACTATTTCCATTCATGCCATTCCAATCTTGCTTTTAGCACACCTCCTTTTTCCTAACACACAGGAGTTTCTATGGATAATAAAAGTTTTAGAAGTTTTCAGGAGTGACCAGTAGAATAAGACAAATCTCAGTTTTAAAAAGAAAGAAGTAACAACACAACTTTCTTCAATGAAGTCTATATAAAATAGCATCTTTAAACATGTTTTATGGCATCAGAAACCATCTATATTTTACTATTTGCATAGGTGGAAGGAATCAGAAATGACCTCATGGCTCAGGTTTCCAGCTGAACACAGCACTCCAATCCCTTTGGATATAGAAGACACACTTGAGATTTTTTTTCCCCTGTTTTTTTAACTTTTATGTGTGTGTGTGTACGTCAGTCTTTGGTCTATAAGCACATTGGTTCTGTGTGCACACACAATACTGTTGAACAGTAGGTTGCATAGAGTCTGTTACCCAAGAACCCTGCCTACTTTTGGCACTGCTGTCACAAATCACAGAAGAGTGTCCTGCAAGAGCTGTATGATCCTTAGCATCCTACATTACACTAAACTTTGATCTAGAGACTGGAAGAAGTATGCATATAATGTTTGAAAAGATGTTTACTTAGGGTGTTATTATGTCTTCTTTGGGACACTATGTATAAATCTTGGATAAAAAGGAATGCAAAATTATTTTAAAAACACCCCCTAATTTTATTTGTAGAGGTGATAAAATACTGCTGATCATTCAAAGGTTGCTCTGAATTATGCTGAGTGAATTTTGCTCAAGTTCTCACATATGTAAAATAAAATAATGTAAAATAAACTAATTTTAGAAATGTATGACATTCTGCCTTCCCTCTCTTCACCCTGCCAAGGAAGTAGCAATAATTTTGAGAACAATACCTAAACTGAGCTGAGTCCAAGGAAGAAATGAACTTTTCATCTGCTGTTTTTTCCATTACACCCCTGTTCTCAATCAGGTGAATGTGCAAGAACAATTTCAGGAATTAAGTCTGGATTCAGAATGGTGCATTTGAAGAAACACCTTTTTACACGGCATCTCTGCAAAAAGCTAAAATCTGTAGAGGTCAAAAATTGAAAGGCCAAAAAAAAAGGTAATAATGAATTTATCCAAAGTGCTGACAACAATGCTTTTGGGTATTTGCACAACAAATCAAGTCTACTTCTAATGCAATTAACCACCAAATTGAATTTTAAATTATGCTAAAATAATATCCCACAATTACCACTTTTTTTCCCCCCCTCAAATTATGTTGGAAGAACAGTAACTGTGATTTGACCGGCAATTTCAAAACCAGTACTTTAAAACACAAAGATAGCAAAAATATCTGAAGCAGATCTAAAATCTATAAAGCTATGTTCTAAATTACTGTAAATAACAAATCAAGCAACTATTACTTATAGCAGATTCAGCAAAACCAACAGGGATGGACAGAAGAGATCTGAGCATGATGCTCTGCGTTACCGAGAATCCAAGACGCAAAGTTTGAGAATGGATATTCCCTTTTGTCCAGAAGTTCCCAAAAGAATAAAAAATAAATAATATTTCAGACAGTACAAGTGAAAATACTGCTCCCATTGTGTCAGTTACATACACATACAGCATGCCTACGTATACAGAATGGTGTGCTGTCTTCATTCACAAACAGGAAATATGGCAGTGCGCTATCAGAATGCTTTGATACTCCTAATTTTTTTCTGATGCTGAAATACATGAATAAACTGCATTCACGACTTATAATTTACTTCCAGTAGCAAACAGTTCGTTCTGTTCGTGTCTCATGACTGAGCTGAAGGATTAATGCTCCTCTGAGGAAGTGGCACCAGTGAGATACCCATTTGTCCCGTTGGCACCGCTGGTGCCGTTGGTGGCGACCGTGCTGTGCGGGCCCTTTGAGCGAGGTACTGTTTCCTCCTCATCTGAGCTTGACTCAACGTCACTTCGGGCATCCTTTGCTACCTGTACAATGTGGAAAAGAAGTGGGCAGTAGGTGACTGTAAGGAAACAACTCGGCTCTGTGGTTCAAGAGAATCAGAGAACTCACACATTTTTTCAATTTGAGTTTTGAAGGCGATTTCAGCTCTGGCACACTTCTCTGCCTTTGCCTGCCTGCACTCACTTCAAACACAGATGTCTGCACATAAATATGCCACGTGCAAAGGCAGGCTGAGAACTCGGCACTGGTGCACTGAAGGTAGTATGGCCAAGTGCTCAAGGCAAAGGGTTTTGTACAGACCGAAGTAAACAACAATCCAAGCTCCCAAATTCAACCCAGGCTCAGTCCCCCTGCCTTCCTACTAACTACAACTGTCCTTCATTTGGAGTGCTGCTCTTTGACCTGATAATACAAAGTGTTCAACCCAACTTCCTGCCCCTTACTTCCCGACTCACTGGAGACCACGTGGCTCCAGGGAACACTGTTGTGTGCTCGCAGGAGGAGACACGAGCACTGCTTGAAGTAAAACTCATCACCTAACTCTAGTCTCTGACTTCAGACAAGTGGTGAGAATGGCACTTGCAAGATGTGGACATAGTCCAGTTCAGTCTCTAAAACAGGAATAACAGTTCAGCTGTGTGCCCCATTGTGTCACTGGAAAGGTGTTTCAGAAACAGATGGACCTTAGCTGCTGTTTCCTGCTAATTTTCAGCTGACTTCTTTGAAAAATCTTGAAAATCTCCAAAATTAGCAAGAGTCCACCAGATACAATGGAAAAAAAGAACCAGCATCAACAGAAAGAGGTCTGAAGTTTAACCTGCATGCCTGTTTCTACTATTTGTAGAGCTCAGCATCCCAATTTCTTCATGATCGATCCACAATCCATCTGCTGGTTGCCACAATCAGGCAATTACAGCTGACTTCACTACAGCAAATGGACATAAAAGGGGGCAAACACATGGTGAGTCTTTTTCCTGAAGAACTAAAAAATGCTTAAAGAACAGGGCCACTGTGTAATTTTTCGCTTACAGTAATTCTCCTCTCCTTTGGAAAGTCTTCTTGACAATTCCGCTCTTATCTCAAAAAAAGCCATTTGCCTTTGGAGCTCTCAGTGTTGCCCTTGCAATATTACAGTACCTGAGTGACACCATTCTGCTTGGAACCAGTGAAAGACGAAAACAGTTCCCATACATCTCCCAGTAAGTAAAGTTTTTAATGCCAATGTCTAGCAAGCCCACAATTCTGACACCTGCGAAACTGGACTTCAGCTGAAAGAAATTTGGTTCCATACTTTACAGAGCTTCAATTAATAGGTTACTTCAATGTCTTTCATATAAAGGAACTTTTATATTGCAGCTGATGGCAGTACAGAAATACACTTAGAATTATACCCTTATCAGACAGAAGAGAATGGTCTCAGCACACAGTACTGGGCACCTGGGATCTATGTGATGGCAGAGCAGATGACTGAACAATTCTGCTTCAACTTAAATTTTCTTAATAGATTCACTGCCAATTTTTCTGCTAGGGTCCTGCCATAAAGCCAAAAATCAAAATAAGATTCTGTGCTGTAGCCAGTTCTTCTAAACATGGGATCTGCTCCCTTTGTTTTTAAAATGCAGCCACGAAGCAGTCTTTGCACTTAAAACCTGACATGAATGCAACACATCTTGCAGTACTTAGTACTTATCTGTAAGATATCTGTAATGTGTTGTGAAAATAGTTTTTATTTTTATTGCAGAAATAGAAAGAATGAGGAAGTTAAAATCTGAAGGAAAATTAATCCTCTGTATATATGTCATACATATCCATCTCTAACCTAGTCACTGTGTTACTGCAAGTGTCTGACTCTGCTTTAACTCTGTGTAACAATCTCAATTTTCTCCTGTGCAACTGTTGGAACTACAAGGTGAAGGAATTACAGTCTCAAGTGTGTGTCCTGAATGTTGACAGAGCAGATGCGTATCCTGCTGAGATACATACATATATATATATGTGTGTGTATACACACACACACACATATCTTATCTATCTATCTATTTATCTATATCGATCTAATCGATCTATGTCTGTATGTAAAAAGGTGAAGCATAATAGCACCCAGATACTACAGACAGAAGTGGGTTGTAATGGTTTTGGGGGATGCATAGCCAAGAGGTAAAAAATAGCCTTTCCAAATAGTCTTTACTTAAATATATAAATACAAACAATGGATGAATACGAAGCAGAAACCACAAATTAAAAGAACCAAAGCATCCCAAACCACAAACACCAGTGTTGTCAGAATAAATCTTTGCATAGTAAATTTAAAGAAACTTACATGCAAGGGGTTCCACTTCCCAGCCTTCCAGCACAGCACAAGGGAAAGGATAAACAAGCAGAGTAAGAGACAGGAAGAAGAAGCCTTTGAAGTCACTGGTTTAATTCAGACAGGACAGCTGAGGCTAATAACTTCTAAAAGCAGAGCAGACTAAAGTGTGCCTTCCAGGCAAAATTCAGCTCGTGAATGCACTGTCTTTCACAGATGGAGTGGCAGATTCTGGGCTCTGCCAGTGCATGGCTGAGCTCCCGAGTACATTCACAGGTAGCAATTTTCTGGAGAACAATCCCATTCACTTTGGGGTCAGTCACATCAATATGCTCTGCTCTTTAAGGGCAAAGTGTCCTGACTTTACATGATCTGCAAGGATTAGTTCTACCATCTGCACACAAGCCTTATGTCTGCACAGCAACTGTAATGTATTTTTGGGGGTGACATCTTCCTGTCAAATGTACCACTGGCAGCAAGACAATAAAGTCTAGCCCAAACAGTCTTGCTCTGGGAATGCTAGAAAGAAAATACAGAGCTCTTTGCAGTACCTCATTAATACCAAAACCCAGAAGAGGCTGTGATCAGTAATTTTGCCACTAGCAAACACAGCCGAATTTCATTTTCATTTCATATTACTGCTATCACTTCCAGCTGTGAAATGAACATTTTGCTAACAACTACTATAAAGAAGAAAAACAGAACTGGCAGCCCCAAGAAAGCAGTTTACTTGTTGGGTTTCTTTAACCTGATTTCCCTAATGTAGTTTAGTTCAGTGTACTACACTGTAAAAAAGAACTGCAGAAACACATATAAAGACAATCACTATACAGAGTATTATTAACCTATCTGACAATCATTAGCAGTGGGGGAAAGTTTCCAAGAAAGGAAAGAAGAGTTTATCTAAAACAAGATGTGTCTTCAGTAGCATGTTATGGATTAGAAAAAAAAGAAATGAACCCAAACAAAAAGTTACTTCTCTTGATAATAGAAAAATAGAAATCATGAAACAGAACCGTGTTGTCTTACCTTGCCCTTTGAAATAGCTTTGTAGGCTGCCTTTATGATTAGGTAAGACCAAAAACAATGCAGAATTTGAAGAACCATAAGCAGCACATTGAAGACCCACAAGGCAGGAAAATTGCCCAGAGCTTCATACAGTTCAAACAACGTTGTATTTAATATCCTAGAAAAAAAAGGGACAGAAAAATAATAACAATTTCCTTAAGCCAACAATCTCAAAGAAGTTATTTTTAAATCAAAATGACAAGTACTTAATTAGATGGGATCCACACAGACAGTTGGTTGTCAAAGCAATAGTGACTTGGACTGAATCACACAGGTGTCTCCAGAGAGAAACAACATCAAAATGTTGCTTTCAATATTTAATTTGAGTTGTAAACATTGCAAACAGAAAACAAAGGTCCTCAGTGTGCATTTCTTCTCTTCATCTATACAGCTAGCAGGTGTTGGCTGACCCAAATAACTCCTTCCCTGATTGATAACAAAAGTTACTGGCCCCCATATTAGCCACTGTTTTGCACTAAATCCGATTTGCACAACACTTTTGCACAACCAAGAGTGAGGCTTGGCAGTTACATCCAGGACAGGTGGGCAATGGACAGTGAGGGGTGGGAGACCTCATTGCAGCCTTCTGGTACTTAAAGGGGGCTTATAAAAAACACGGGGATAAACTTTTTAGTAGGGCCTGTTGAGATAAAACAATGGCTAATGGTTTTAAGCTAAAAGAGGGTAGATTGAGGCTAGATCTAAAGAAGAGGATTTTTACAATGAGAGTGGTAAAACACTGGAACAGATTACCCAGAGAGGTTGTAGACTCCCCATCCCTGCAAACACTCAAGGTCAGGTTGGACAAGGCTCTGAGAAATCTGATCTAGATGAAGATGTCCCTGCTTGTAGGGGGATAGAATATAAGAAAATCAAGATAGTGTAGAAAGTAATCTTACCCCTAAGGAGTTGCAGCTGGGCCAATTAGCAAAGATTGGGAACAGGCCTGACTTTAACAGGCCACAGCTGTAAGCAATGAGAAGAAGAGTGCTATAAAAGAGTGGGGTGGCTGGTTGAAAAGGGAACTGGAATCAGTTGGTTGCTTTGTGAAGAAGAAAGAGTCAGTGCCCTGAGGAGCTGCTCATGAGAAACACCAAGAAGGCATGAAACATTTGTGATAAGGAGACAACAGTATGGAACCCCTGCAATAAGATGACAACACCTGCTCATTGCAGGCAGGTTGGGCTGAATGACATTTAAAGATCCCTTGCAATCCAGATCATTCCATGACTAAGAAATGCAGGCAGTTCTACATGTTTGAAACAAATTTTTGAGAATCAGCATTTCAGATGCAGGCAGTAAACTGATGTCATAATGAACTTCTGAAGCTTTGCTAATCCAGCACTAACTTTCTGCTCAAATACACTGCCACAGCAGGTGATTTCAATCTATCTTAGCAAACAGCCTGACAGCAGAGTGAAGAACAGATGATAGAAACAATGTCATTTTTAAAAACAAATAACGATCTAGGAATGGCTGTTAATTAGTGGAAAAAAATAAGGCAATATAAGGACTTGTCAAACGTCATCCACTTTCCCTACTGATGCATAAATTCATTAAAAACTCGGCTGCCTTTCTGTTCTTTCGCCTGTTTTAGCTCGGCCATCCCCGCCGGTCGCTAGATGGCGCGTTCAGCCCGGCAGCTCCGGACCCCGCACGGGCGCACAGCCGCGCTCAACTCCGCGCAGAAATTAGGGATACTCCTCTCATCCTTCTAATAACCAACCGCATTTCCCACAGCTCTTTCCAGCAGCATCAAACCAATTAAAAAAAAAAAAAACAACAAAACCAAAGTAGTACGAGTATGAAATATGTACAGACAACAAAATCAGAATACCACATTTAGTGGTAATGATACACACCCAATGGTTGTAACACCACTGATCAAAAAGCAACCAGTGATTGCTGATACACTCGACTCAATACTGTATGGGTACTTCATAGTACTTCTACCTTTTCATTTTTGCCTTCTTACAGAAGTTGAATGTTTTGTAACCTTCCTAGACAGTGTTTTTACACTGTCTTCTGCTTATGGTGTGAGCACCAGAAAATGTTTTCCAGTTTGCAAAACCCCCATCATATTATTGCTTCTGTCAGGTGGAACTCTTCAGTCTCAGCTTTGTGCAATTTGTTCTGCCAGTGGCAGCTATATTTGTCACAGTAACACCCCACTTTACAGTTCAAGGGGACACTCTCATCACATCAAAACAGACGTGGAGTCAGCACTGTTCAACTTCACCACTGCTTACTGCAGTTCTAACCATTATATCAAATTCAAACTTGAAATCAACAACTCCTGTATATAAAGTTACCATTGTTTACACTCAACTGTCTCTATGTCTAAAACTTCAAATGCCAGAGAATTGTAAATAAAGCTTCTGCAGGTTTCTGTTTATATTTTATTAACTGGACCAAATTCATCTCTGGGGACTTCCACAGAAGTCAAGTAAAAAAAGCAGCATTAGAGATGAGTTAGCCCACTCTGGCAGAAGTCAGGAAGAAAGCAAGGCCAAAAAGAGTGCTTCTGGTATCAAAAACCCATGTCCCATGTGCAAATGACTCATATATTGTGTATCAGATAGGGAAATAAGCCTCAATGAAAAAGCAGACTGCTTTCTAATCTGTTGTGTCTGGCAAACTAAGGACAGGACTGGAATTCTCCATTAAAGCTGCAAAAAGAATCTCATTAATTGGCCATCAATGCTAACAGGGGGTTCAGTGGTCTGATGTGCAGGCTAGGTGTTCATGTTGAACTAAGGCTATGTCCAAGCACCTACAGAGCAGAAGCTGAGTGAAAAATACAGAAAATTACAGAAAAAATAGATGTGAGCAAATAAACTCTCAAAATAAATAAATTATTTCATATTAAAAGTCTGAAATGGGGAAAAATTCATAAGGTTATGAGTCAGAATATATGGAGAAATTCTACTTGCAGAGAATGAGGAAGAAGGGGAGGAAAGATAGGTTAGACCACTTTCCATGAATTTCACTGCTTCAAGTATTCAATGGAACCATTTTAATCAACTGCACAAGTAATAGGGACTGGAAATAGCAGCACAAAAATAGATGGAGGAGAAAGTGCCTATAAGATGCATATGCAAATAAATATTGGATTCAAATAGTCAGAAAAGCACTTAAATCTGTAAACACACTTTTCAAAGCTCTCCAGTGATTAAATCCCAGCTTTTCATAATGAATGGTGGAAACTTCGATTCTTGGGTATCTGACTTGAAACAGCTGGACTTGATCTCACAGGGGAAAACTACCTTAAGCTGCAAGTGCTCTACCTTTCTGAAAACTTTTGCCAGCATTTCTCAGATCTTTGCAATTTGCAACTAAATGTTAGCTTCTGCTTTTGAAAATAATTTCTGTACTGTTTGTTTTCTGAGCCCCTGGAAGACTTTGACAGCTGGAGAACACAACACAATTTCATAGAACGTATTCTTCCCTGGTTAAATGAATTCCAAGGAGGGTTGTGCACCTGGCTGTGTGAAGCACTCAGTTTAGCATCTTGAATTAAGCAGTACGGCTGATGAAAGCAAATAAAAATAAATTCACCACTTAAGATCCAATCTACTCTTACAGAAATCTGTGGTATTTTTTTCAGGAATGCTGCCACAGTATCTGAGCCACTGGGAGAGATAATCCCGTACTTACTGTACTACCACTCTAATTAAACACTCAGAATAAAATGAACACATTTTCATCAACTACTAAACAATCACCTGCAACACACCAACAGTAACACAAATTTTTGGTCTAGTCTCTAGCTCTTTATCTAGCCAGCAAAGCAGTACTTGGGACACTAGAAGTAACAGATCCACACTGACTCATTAACATTACACTCCCCTCCCACAACTCAGTGGGCCCAAATCCAGGCCCTTGGGTGTCAGCTACTAATTCTTGGCAAATTGATTCCTTGTCTTGCACCAAGGATGAAAGGAAAACCTGGAGATGAAGGGAGATAAATAAAGAGAGGAATGGGTGGAAGAGTAAAATCCTTATCTATATTGTCTGAGAACTGATAAAAGCGTTCTATGTTTGCTTCTGAAAGGATCCTGAGAGAAACAAAAAGAGCTGAAAAGGAGGATCATGTGGAAGGAGCAGGTATTCTTCCAGACAAACAAGAAATTAGTGATAAACTCTGTTTGCAGAATGATGCATAGCAGCAAGATGGGCACTATTATCACATCCAGTGGGAGCAGAAACTGCAGCTGAAATTAGTGCTACTGCAAGTTGCCTTCTCTTCTGCAGCACTGCCCAGTGCCCAATATTCTGCTGCAACATGCTGAATTAAAGTCACTTTGTTAACACAGCACAATAGATGGGAGTCTCAGACATGGCCAAGGACAGCACAATACAATACCAGCTTGTCTAAATAATTCAGAATAAATGTCTTTATCCCCATTATGTGTGTATTAGACAACAGTATTCTATATTGCAGTGTAACACCTGTATTGGGACACCTTTCAATACTGCATGCATTACCAAGAAAATATGTAATTACATTTATGTAATTATGTAGTTACATTAATTATCCCATTTAGTGCAAGTAACTCAACAGTGCTCCTACCAGCAATGCTTCAAAGTTTCTGCCCCTTTTTAAAATTTTTCCTTTAAAAAACCAAACATTTGCACCAAAACATAGTCATTTACTCTTCATTATATGTGGTAAAAGTGACTATGACCAGAGAATAAAGAGTCAGGAGTTCTAAATTGTGAATTTAGCTGTTATATTAACTTATGTGATCTAAGAAATTCTCAAATTTCTTTACACAGTTCATTTTTTGTTAAAGATGTGCACAGAGTATTGGCACACCTTGCTGGCCACATAAAGATGAGTTATTAGCTTGATAAAACACTGTGGACTACTTCTTTAACAGATGCCATAAAAGTGATAGGTAGAAAAAAATGTCACTGAGATTCACTGAGATAAATGAAGAGCAGTGGAGTGTGAGAGTACATGTATGTGCACATGTTGATCAGCCACAGGATGATAAATCAGACACTTTCATCAGTGGTCAAGATTCACCTCTAGGATTTAGACCTTGATTGAAATCTGACAGGACTTCATATCCCAGGATGTCCTAGTTACATTTAAGGTCAGTGCTACACAAC